GTTTCAAACTTTTTAAAAAAATGATAAGTGTGTGTCGAAGCATCCACGGAGTCTCACGCGGTTTTGATCCAATCCTGTTTTGAGCGAAGGAATATCATCACCGATGGGCGAGTTGCAAAGAGTAAAACATCGCCGAGGTAGTGGACATTCCATTTAAACAATCATGCATCCCACATTTTAATACAATCGACACCTCGGAAGCTTTTAGTAGGATGTTAAAACAACAAGAGTATAATTCATAAAGTTAAACCTGCGAATTGACACGCCCGAGAATATTGACTGACGTACATGGCACGTTCTAAATGTTGCACAGCCTAAATCGCTGGGAAAAGGTCCAAAGGTGTCTGGGAAGTAACACATTGTTTGTTATTGTTGGGTTTGTCTTGTGAAATGAACAAGAACGATCCAGATGCTACCGCGATCACACATTGCGTTTATTTCAAATAGAGAAATTGTGTCGCTATATGAAGGCCATGCTGTGAAATACGACATGTACCATTCTCACACGAGAGGAAACAAAACAAGACTGAGTCTCTGGTTCATTTAAATGGCGTACGTATTATATGTAATACTTATTTTCACGACAGTAAATTGTTTTGTCTTTGTTTTCATTTGTATTTAGGTTTGTATCCATGTTCTGATAAATCCTCTCAATAAAACGAGTCCGAAAGCCTACATCAGTGCATAATGTCTAGAGAAAATTAACTGGCGATGTCATACTTGTGTATATTATGCAATGTGTTAGGTGTCGATGTACCTGTGTGTCATGTCAGCGTATGATGCAATTAGGTTTTTAAAAGTGTCGAATATGCACGACTGGATTTTAGATAGGTATGCTAAAGTCAGCTTGAATTTTTTCCCCGATTATAATGACATATATCAAGTTTGAAGTGATCAGAGCAAATGCATCATGTTTCGATTGCCCTGAAAACACTTTGATCATAGATCAACAGTGGCCGCCGCACTGCCATCTTTGAAACACACACCAAAACAACAGATATTTTGATACAGCTTTGTGTCGCGGGAGTGGAGTGAATGTGCCATATCTCAAGCCATATAGCTTATCTATGAGTAATACGCGATGAGAGGGAACACACACACACAATGTGCGTGCGATGGTGTTTCGTAGGCAGGACATCCAGGAAATGTATCAGGCCGGCGGAAGAGGGATCAGTTCTTTAATGTAACTGAAATAAAATATATCATGACGGAAGTTCACTGTGAGACAATACACGATCCGTGTGAAATTCGACATGTTGAAGTCTGTCAAACTCAATTGACAGGTCAATCAGTCCAGGCCAGTGAACCTGGGCTACAAATTAGCGATATGTTTGTTTTATTTGATGGCGGAGGGCAAGTGTGGAATCCGATAAGATGTGACGAACCACGTGGTCAGAGAAACAAAGATAACATCTAATTCAATCAAAATAATTGCACTAGACTGTCAGCCGCTTCGGATATATGTATTTAATTAAGTAGTGGAAGTGCTGTCTTTCTCGCCGATCGTGTCTCTTTCTGATTGCTGATTATTCTAACTTATAAAATGGATACAGTGGTCTCTTACACTAGTACTGCTAGTATTTGTCACTACAAAATTGGTGGGTGGGTGAGCGGGTTGAGGGGGCGAGATAGTGAGTCGTATTGTCAGTTGAAGCTGAATGCAAAACGATGAAATATATCAAAATGAAACAACGATTGTCGTACGTAGCATAAGTAGGTCAAAGGTGATGATCCGATACATAGTGTAATGTTTCCACCGTATAACATGTGAGGTAAATATTTATCATGTCCGTTTTATAGTAGGTGGGATGATGGCTCGGTCATTTCCTCCTAGTTTATAGCTATCACTGATTCGGGTCATCGCTTATCATGTTGAAGTTAGTGGCTGAGGAAATCCGTGATGGTGTATTTGGCGCACATAACGATGAAATATACCCGGTACTGATATATAAATGGATATTGCGAATCACATTGAAAGAAATAAGAAACAGTTAACTTAACATTCGTTGTTCTTTCTGTAATCTTGTCTTCGGTGTTTTTTCATTTGTTATGCCCAGCGCCACCAACGTCCACCGTAACTAACTATTCGGTCGGTAATTGCGATGAACTTAACCCCCAAAGATATATTTCATGTTAAATGAGAACTGTGACGTCTAAGTAATGTTTCGCAACCGACTTGTAAGTTACTAAGCGCCGCAGGGTCTGCATTGTGATTTGATAAAGCAACATTCAATTCGATAATATACGTTAAAGATTCTATTTAACCCGCAATGTTAGCTGACATGGTAGTCTAACGGTGAAATCAGAACCCCCGGCAACGTATGAATGGGGATAATGATGGCAAAACAAATTATTAAATAATACCGGGAGGTAGTTACCAGCAGATAATTATAATTTAACTAAGGGCATCGCCACCACGTTTTGGTAATTCATTCTCAGACTGTCACATTTGGCGAAATATATTATATATTACGCCGTGTGCGGCGGTTCACTCTTTGTCATCGAAGTGGTTCGCCCTATAAGCATTGAGCTTAAGAGAGTGTACGGTAGGTACGCCCCATTCATCGTCTTGACAGACAACGAATAGGGTCGAAGTCGTCAGATTTGTAAACGCCCATGCTCACTCTGTATACAGACGTCTTCTCACGGTACCCAAAGTGCTACCACGTTATCGCTGTGGATATAGAACGGACATACACGTTCTGCTGAGCTGGAACCATCATCACAAGCGTGTTGCTACGTCAAATTCTAATATGAACTACACTGGTAAGCGAGTCGACGACGTCGGTCTAACAAGCGCTTTGTTCAATTACACGAAGTAAAAACACAATAATGCCCATCTCCGAAGTTGTTTTTTTCAAAACGCTATCATTATTTTGAATCGACGTTACGATTTGGTTGGATTTGTTGACATACTACACCAACTTCCTAAAGTCGAGTTTGACGATAAAAGGAAACATAATAAGTTAGTCTGCTACACGATGTTTTCGCTGCGTGTTTTCGCCGAGTGTATGTATTAGGTGGGTGACAGGTAAATATCACAATAACAACAAATTGTTTGGTTTTGTTGGGATTTTTATATAAACGTCTGTTAACCTTGTTGTGAGTGTGAGATTAAAACAAAAAACATGTTCTATACCACCGGAACTACCTTCCACGCGAGAAGAGAACACGGTTTGTTCAGTCGTTCAGTGGACAACGTTGTTTTCTACATCGTATTGGTGAGTTGTATTGATATATGCAGAGTCAGTGGGCTAGGGGATTCGGTGAAAATCCCTGGGGACGTAGTACTGGGCGGACTCTTTCCCATCCACAGCGCGGGGATCGGCAAACCGTGCGGCTACGCCAAGAAGGAGCAGGGCATACAGCGGATGGAAGCTATGTTGTATGCCATCGATATGATCAATAAGAGGACCGACTTACTGCCTAACATCACCCTGGGAGCCCACATACTGGATACGTGTTCTCGCGACACATACGCCTTGGAGCAATCTATGCAGTTCGTTGGTCCAAAGATGGGCCACGTGGACCTAGAGAACGTAGAGTGCCCCAACGGGAGCGACCCAATTTACAGTCAACCCCAGCCGGTAGCAGGAGTCGCGGGCGCTTCATCAAGCTCTGTCTCCGTTATGGTGGCCAACATACTCGGTTTATTTCAAGTAAGTTTATTTTATAGATTATTTTACATTGTTCTGTCAGAAAAAAAAATTGGATTAGCGTGAAGGATTTCATTACTGCGCTATGTACACTTTTGTTGAAATGTAAACATACGGTGTGCATAGAACGAGTCAATTATCAGTTACAAATTTCACGATGAAAGTCAAACATATTACAAATGATTGGCTCACCGAAATAACGACAGTGCGTAAGAGTATCGAAGGTCGATTACAAAATGGATCGTTTCTATTTCCAGTAAGACTGAAAGTAAATATCATCGCATTCTCCAAATTAGTCGCGCTATCGGTTTTCACCGGCTTCGCTAATGTACCTCTTCAAGCAAGCGAGTTGAAATCGCGGGCGGTGTATGGAAATTGATACCTGCGAAATGGTGAGTTAGAAGCGCGACACTGCACTAATAATAATTATCCACGGCTTTCAGGCTGATCAATACCTCAAAGAACCCATCACATGGAATACGAACACGATACACGGAAACAGTAAACATTTGTACCACCGTGCGCATCACGCTGACTCATGTGAGCCGACAAAAGCATGTTATTCGACCGAGGTAGTGTTATGTAATACCAACTCTGAAATGTATTTATGTTTTAATTGAGAGTACGTTTGTAAGCCAACAGTTTGAATAGTAATTGTATACGCCCTCCTCACTATGCCTATTCCATATTTACGCTTTAAGATTTATTTTTAAACCAACTGATCAATCATTATGTATTATAATCGGATTCATATTAAATAAAAGGTATTCACAATTAAACAAAACTTCGATGGCGATTCGATGGCCTATAAAAATTATACTTCGGATCTCGATCGTTGCAGCTAGAGTTAGCGTCGACAAAATGGTTAGTTGTCTGCTGGTAACGTACTAATACATATCGTACTGGCTGTAGACATTGCGTTTTTTCATACTTGCAATTGGACTGATTAAAATGTGCGATGCTATCAGTACAGTGCGGCGTTGTTTGAAGCAGCGTTGGTGATATTAGTAGTAACGTTAGGAACTTCACCAACGTTTGTATTCACTGCCAGTGAAATGCCATTCAAAAACAAATCAATAAGCAACGATACTGCATCGACCGAGTTGTTTCAGCATAGTGCCCCATCAATTTGGCAATTGATTTTGGCGTTGACAGTTTCATATATGATACATGCCATTCACAAACCTATTAAATGCATGAGAAAAACAGACATTTCGCTTCGGATACGTAATTTAACAAGTTTTCCCAGAATTGTTCCAGATATAAGTATATACACATGTTTATATCAAAATCGCGTCTGGAGGTGGAAACGCGTGGCAACGATCTTCCTTCGCTCCAATGGTATTAAGGGTCACTTAAATCACAAATAAAAATAATTACAAGTGCATTAAACCGTTTACGGGGAGTAATAGGATCGCGTTAAACTAAAGAAAAAAGAAGTACAGTTTGAATGTGTTCAGCAAGGGTCATGCCGCGAGGTCAAACCTAATTGATTTTTTTCTGCCACGTCACTAGAGACCTACCGATATTGCTATATACACAAGTATGAAGACAGCAATGACGGGGCCATTACCATGCAAATTACACCCACGGAGTCGGTGAAGTTCAATCATAATCAGAGGAACTTGAACCCCATAGTGAACTTGAACTCTATAACGGATATTTATATCACATTAGATTAATTCAATCTATTGTAGCTTAATTTTTAGCGATATGAAACAGACAATGAAAGCGTTGCCAATAGTTTCATTGTTGAGATTATGTTGGCGCATTTTTTTTAACTGAAAGATGGTAGTCACGTGTTGACATGTTTTCAAAATTGAAACTCGCATTAATTATAATAAGTATGACACGTCATATGTTATTATGAGAGACAGCACACCAAGCCCCCAACATACGGCGAAAGAAGAGTACATTTCCAGGTGATACTTTAGTGAATGGTAATTCGTCATTTTCGAAAAAAAAGTAAAGTCCAAATGCCCCTGGAATCGTCTCCCTTGTTGGGTAATGATTTGACCTTACTTGATTGGGTAGTAGCATGCTGATCCTTAGCTTACAAATTGATAAACAGTGACACAAGATGTTAAATCGTGTTAAAATATGTCGCATACTGTTTTATTTCTTATTTATTAGTCCTACTCACGGTTCTAAATTCCCGTAATCGTAACTTTGAATTTAGTTTGAAAACAAACTAAACATCGTTTTACTAAGGTTTATCCGACAAGTATAAGTTTAAATACAGTAGTACATGATATCATGATTTGACCACCCGCAATTTGAATCACAGCGCAATTGCCACAATGTGTCTTCATTGCGTCATCAATGGCATTACCATACTATAAAACAGGTGCATTAACTGTGCCCCGGACCGACACCACGACGTGACACATGTGTATGTATTCTTTGCCAACAAATTCAAGTTGCATGTATAGCTCTACCGTTCTCTATAAAATACATTTCAAAAAATGAAATAGTCTACTAAAATATTCAATAATAGTATTCTGTGTCGCTCTATGACTTTAATACTACACTTGATTATCTAACGCAGTCGCAACGACACTTGTCATTATTGGATACCTCTGTTCTTCTTGTGTGATGTCAGTTCCCCACGCATGTCCTACTCGCGATATATATTCGATAACTATCATTCATTCCCAGGACGCGTGCCATGTCTTAACGCATTCCTACAACGTGTAGTTTTCACTTCCCTTTTATTAATACATAGTTTGTCTCGCATGAATGCCTGAACACGGTGTTAGCTTTCTTCCACCACTCGGGTGCAGTTTCACGGTGGTAACGCCGTGTGATATGCGCAGACCGTCTGCCGTAATTGTTGCAGATCGCCACCTCGGAGGTCACGGCTGTAACTATTTCATTTGTCGTGATTACACATTACTTCATTTAGCCCGATGTACCTCCAAATTGCGGGTAATCACGGGGTAACTGCTGACCACTCTGAAGAACGTGGTACGCCGATTTAACGAACTGTTGCATGCTGTCAGTGCCTTGTATAAACTAAACGAACGGGGTCGGATTACTTACTTGGGAGTAATAGCGAACGGTATAATAAAGTGACTCCGATAGTACGACACACTAGAAAAATGTGTGCCCCCGAAATTTCTTTCAGCTAAGGCAATCAAACGCCACATAGTAAGATGGAAACTTTCTCAAAACACGCAGTTGTAAGTTTCCCCATCAGACCAATTCACGTTACTGTAGTTTATTGTTCAAGTTGTTGGAAATTACGAGCATGCAGTTCTCCCACACTCCACAGTGAGAAGGCTTCGAACACGCCCAAAAAACAGATTGATATTGCGTAAAACATTGGATATTGTGCTACGTTTGTGGTTATCTTACGATCGACCACTCATATACAGTATCCGGCAAGAAATAAACATAAGTAATTTCCCGAGGGGGTTCGTCAAGTAAATTGCAGATCACATACTTAGTCAGCTAGCCAATCACTATCGAAGAGAGTTCTGGCATCGAATCTGATTATGTTGTCTTCTCATTAGGCTAATGGCAGGTGAAAACAGCCGTGGGTCCAAAGTGGCTTCATGATAGCACCATAATTGGATAGATCTGACCCGTCTCGTTTTGATAATATCATGATTCAATCATCCAAGAACTTTCATGCGCTATTGTGACATCATCTCAAATTGAATTCACTTCAATGTTAAAACAGGACCGTTGGATGGGATTACGCGCCGGACGGTGTGGTTGATCAACCCCACATTTTCACTTCACGAGCGATTAATTTTCATGTTCTCCCCCTCGCTCATCGCCATCAAAGCGATGTTTTATGAGAGTGGGACATTTCGTTGGCGGAATAATGAGCGCATATGAATATACAATGAGAACATTAAACCGTTTTTTTCTTGCAAGGTTACTCTGAATGCAATGAAGCATATTGCATGTAATTGACTCTTACTTTGGAAATGTCTTTGAAATTATGCATTTGTGTGTATGTGTATATGTTGAAATTGCATTTGAAATGAAATTCCATTGGTGTAGAAACGTGCTAATGACGTCATAGAATGAACAAAATCCAAGCTATTGATTATATGTGAAGCGCATTTCACGCCATTTTGAAATAAGTTTAACCCCCAGGCAAACGCCAGCAGTCGATATACAGTATCTCGTCAACATCACGTTAACACACACAATGATTTATTTTTATTTTAACAAGATTTGTGTTTGTCTGTAAAACTCTGGTATTCGTAATACTTGTTATGCTTTCTCTTTGATCTTTAGATCAGTCGTTCCATTTTTGTGACAACTGTGGATTTATTTTTCATGTATTTTTACGTCACATGGAGCCCGTATTGTAGACATCATCGAGATGTGGCGCTTCAACATTCGAAATGTCGTACTCAGTGTTCTATCTTAACAAACACGCACACACACGCAACAAATCACTTTTGCATCTTTTTGTTCCCGATTGGCATTCTCAGCACTGCGCTCTATTGCTCAGGGGGTCAATCTTACTTTTCTCTATCAGACAGCTGTGTATGTAGGCGTGTTAGCAACAGTCACGTAATTGGCACTGTTCTTCGCGCAAATTGAATCTCTCCAAGTAGGTGCAGTCCGGAGAAGGGTATGTTTTAGCGAGAATTGGATTGAAAACACGAAAAAGTCATTAAAGCATTCGTGTTTCTAAAATGTTTGTAAAGACTCTGTCGACTCTGTGCTGCCGAATCTCAATATAAGTCTGTTTACAGTGGCTAGAGAGGTTTAATAAGTAGTAAAAGCCCTCCACGATATACAATTGCAGTCGACCAATAATGTGACATCTAATATATCCTGCTGTGATTGTTAGTTGCATAATGTACGTTTCACGTCATTACAATGTAACGTCACAGTGACAAAAACATAACCTTCACGGGCTTAGCTCTGATACTTCAGTAGATAGAATGATTATCACAGAATAAACATAACCTGATCTCTCTCGAGTCTTCTTTATTGAAAACAAAATTCAATGTTTCACTTAATCTTGAAATAAT